CTCCCCGCCACTGCTCACACCCCGCTTCCACCCCAGCCACCCAGAGGAGCCGCCAGGCGGGGAGGGGAAGGGGAGCGCGCCCCACGGGCTGGCCCCACGCCGCCACGTCTGCAGATGAAATGGGGGGGACCTGGGTTACCCGGACCCCCGCAGGGGAGCCATTGGGTTCCCCCTTTGGCGGGGGGCTCCAGCCCGGCCGTTGTGTAAGGGGGAGCCCTGGCCGTGTGGGGGGCAGGAGAGGAGGCCTGGGGGTGCCCCTACCGTAGCTTCGCAGTCCCGGTCGCTGCCGCCCTTGGGGGCGCCTGTGTTGTGTTTGCCGTGTGCACCCCGTGTACCAAATAGCCTAACAACGAATAAACGGTAGAGACAGCGCTGTGCCGCCTCCTCCCTCGCCGCCGGGAGCCCTGGGGTGGTGGTGGGGGGACGACACGACACACCGTGGGCTGCCCCATCCCTCGGCCGGGTCCGGGCACCAGCGCGCAGCGTGTTGTGCTCACTCATGCAATGAGTTGTGCCTGGTCTCAGCTCACCCGCACTCATCGTGGGACGCTGGGAGCTGGTAGGCGGGGCAGGGCCCTCCCTACGAGCCACGGGGCGGGTGAGGAGCCCTTAATGAGCCCCTATTTCCCGCCCCCGGTCACTCGTCCCCCGTTTCCAGCTTCCGTTACCGGCCGCGGCGCTCGGCGCTGCGCAGGCACGGCCTGTCCCCCCGCGGCAGCCGTAGAGACCCCGCGGCCAAAAGCCCGCCTCCTCAGGCCGGATGCCGCGCTCTGATTGGTCTCGCTGCCCGCCCGTCTGCGCCACAGCCCTCCGGCCTCCACGTCTATTGGCTGTCGTGAGGGCCGGGCGCTCTGATTGGCTGGGCTAGGCGCAGGCCCCGCCCTCCCCCGCTTGATGCGGGAAGTGAAGATGGCGGCGGCGGCGGCGATAGCGGCGGATGAAGCAGGTACCGGTGGTCCCCGGGGGTCGCTCAGCCCCTGTCCCCGTTCCCGGGTGCCCGGTCCCGGTGAGCCGGGCCGGTGCTGAGCGCTGTCCCCTCAGAGCGGGCGCGGGGCCGGCGGGCCGCCCTCTCCTTCGCCGCCATCGCCGTGGTGCTGGGGCTGCCGCTGTGGTGGAGAACGACCGAGACCTACCGCGCCGCGCTGCCTTACGGGGAGATCGACGGGCTGGGACAGCTGCCGGTGAGCACCGGGAGTTGGAGGAGGGACCGGGATCAGCGGGTCCCCGGGCTGGGGTGCCCCGGGCTGACGCCTCTGCTCAGTTCCAGCTGACCGTGCCCGTCGCTGTGGTCTTCGCCCCGGGGTCGGTGCCCGGGGACCTGCCGAGGCCGCTGCCCTTCAGGGACGTGCAGGAGATGGAGCTTTCCGTCAACCGTGAGAGACCCCCTCGGCTGTCCCCAACCCCTGTGTCCCTCCCGGGTGGCCTCGTCCTTCCCCGGGGTGTCCCTGCCTTTCCGTGGCTTCTGTCCCCGGGTGGATGTCACCCCACAGCTCCCCACGCTCATGTCTCTGTCAGCACCATCCCGTCCTGAGCTGGTAGAACAGGGGAGCAGTGGGTTCAGCTCAGGGTCCACAGGAAAAAGACCATCCCCCTTCCTTGGGGACAGGGCTGGTGGCAACCCCTGGGGGGTGTGGGTCGTGCCATGGCTGGCGGGGGGCAGCCCTGCTTGCCAACACAGACCAGCTGAGGCCATGTCTTGTGGTGGGTCAGTCAGCTGAGGTTCGAGCTGGTGACCTTGTGGCATGTGTCCCCATGGGGGCTGTCCCTTGTCCCTCTTAGAACCTTCCAAAGGGCTGGGGCTGGTGGCTTCACTCTGGCTTTCTCCCCCACAGTGAGAACCACCGTCACGTCCCGCTACGAGATGATCTATCGCAGCACCACGGCTCAGGAGGAGGCAGCGCTGGGGGCACCTACTGCCCCAGGTACCAAGATCACGGTGGTTGAGGGAGCTCCATGGAGGACCCAGGCTCCTCTTTCTGAGGCTGGTTGAGCTGAGGACTCAGCTTCACTGCATTTTGGGGTGGGAGGGGGATTGGAGTGAAATTCCCAACCCTGCTAACGCTTCCATCTTTCCCCAGAGGCTGATGCTGCTCTGCACCCGCTGGAGGACACCTCCTTGGGCTCTCTGACCGTGTACGTGGTCCCCGAAACCTCCTCTCTCCTGCCTCAGGTAGGGAGCAGCACCCTGCTGTGCCAACCTCGGCTTATTTCACCCTGTTCTGGGGTGGGTTGGTGGGAGCCAGCCCTCACCCCTGCCCCTTCCCCTCAGGGCATCAGTGTCTACGTGGGGAAGCACCGCAGTGCCCTGGTGAGGGCTGGGGGGGGCCTGGCTGCCCTCCGTGCCCGCCTCCAGCAACTCACACACGTGATGTCCTTCACGGCCAGCTCCATCACCGCTGCCCTCACGGACCGAGTGCCCGACGGCCAGCTTGGCCCTGATGCCCGGCGGCATTTGAAATCCAGCCTGGGTACGGATGTGGGTGCCAGCCCCATTCCTTCAGCTGGGGAAGACTCTGGGGGAGACGCTGTTCCTGTAGCATCCCTGGATGTCTTGTGGGGTCACAGACCCCAGGGTCTTCCCTTTAGCATTGCTTTGGGCTGGCACCCATGCTGCAGTTTTCACTGAATTTTAGAGTTGGAAGGGACCATAGAGATCATCTAGTCCAACTCCCCTGCTGAAGCAGGATTGCCTAGAGCTAGAGCATGTTACTCAGGAGCATCCAGGCGGGTCTTGAAAATCTCCAAGGAAGGGGACTCCACACCCTCCCTGGGCAGCCTGTTCCAGGGCTCTGTCACCCTCACCGTGAAAAAGTTTCTCCTCATATTTGAGTGGAACCTCTTATGTTCCAACTTGTGCCTGTTGCCCCTCGTCCTCTCACTGGGAACCACTGAAAAGAGTCTGGCTCCCTCCTCCTTCAACCCTCCCTTAGTCGCGGCGTGTTGGGTCGCTGGTGCACAACCCTGCATCGGGGAGGATCAGGGAGGAGGGGGTCATGTCCTGCTTCTCTTGGGAGCTCTGTCGTGGCCACCTGCCCGGCTTCAGCATCAACAGGCAGTGGCCATGCTGATGCCTCACAGGCTGTGCTCGGCAGGGTACGAGATCACCTTCAGCCTGCTGAACCCCGACCCCAAGTCCCACGCCGTGGAGTGGGACATCGAGGAAGCCGTCAACCGCTACGTGCAGCCTGTCCTGGACAAACTGAGCTTGGTGGCCAACTTCTCTGTTGACTCGCAGGTGAGGACTTGGGAGATGTGATGGGGAAAGCCCAGCCCTGGCCGTGCCGGGTGCTCTGGGACATGCTTCTCTACCAGCAACTTCTCTGTTGTGTGCCTGCAGATCCTGTACTACGCCGTCCTAGGAGTGACACCACGCTTTGATAAGGAGTCCTCCAGCTTCCTCCTGAGCGCCCACAGCCTCCCGCACGTCATCAACCCTGTGGAGGCCCGGCTGGGTGAGCGCCGTGGAAGGAGGAGCAGGGCTGGGCTCTGCCTCAGCACTGTGTGTGGGCAGTCTGCTCTCGCTGTCCCTGCCACCCAGGGGACTTCTCTGACTCTATCCTGCTGCAGGCTCCAGTGCTGCCTCGCTCTACCCTGTGCTGAACTTCCTGCTGTACGTGCCAGAGCGTTCCCACTCTCCCCTCTACATCCAGGACAAGGATGGAGCCCCAGTGAGCACCAACGCCTTCCACAGCCCCCGCTGGGGTGGCATCATGGTATGGGGCCGTGGGGGTGCTGGCAGTGCTTGGACAAGTGGTGGCTCCCCATCCCCTGCTGGTACCAGGGCTCACTGATGCTCTCCTGCAGGTTTACAACGTTGAAGCCCCTGCTTCCCCTCAGGCTTCCCTCCCACTGCGCGTGGACGTGGACATGGTGCGAGTGATGGAGGTTTTCTTGGCCCAGCTCCGGTGAGGATCATAAATAATGTGGCTTTTCCCTCCCTGGGGCTCCGTGTGCTCTCCTGGCACACGTGGAAATCGAATGGGTCAGAACAGGCTGTATCTGTGCAGCTTGTTCGCTCCTCTGTGGGCTCTGGGAGGCTGAGGGTGGCTTTTTGTGGCCTTCAAGGAGCTGACCATCAGCCAGCGCTGCTCTCTGGCTGGTGTTGCTGGTGTATCTTCCATCTCCTGGAGTGGGAGCCTTGTCTTGTCGTGTCCCTTATGCAGGAGGCCATCAGGTGTGGGTTGAGCCCTGCCAAGAGTGAATGAAGCAGAGAAGGGGAAGAGTGGGGGGAGCGCATGTGGGACCACAGGCTTGTGATGTGGGCTGGGACCTTCTCCTCTAATCCCAGGTTACTGTTTGGGTTATCTCGGGAGGAGCTGCCTCCTGAGTTCCTGCTGGAGAGACCAGGGAACGAGGGGCTGGCCGACTGGGAGCTGGACCGCCTGCTCTGGGCCCACACCGTGGAGAACATTGCCACCGTGTCCACCACCTTGACCTCGCTGGCCCAGCTCCTGGACAAGATTGGGAATATTGTCATCAAAGACGATGTTGCCTCTGAGGTAGGACTGTGGTGTTGCTGGCCCTGTGCAGACCATGAGCTCTTGTTGGTGTGGTTCTGCCCAGGCCTGGCAGCGAGTGAGACCCACAGGCTTGTTCCTGTGGTTCTCCCTTGGTCAGGAACTGACCATCGGTGTTGTTGCCACACAGGTGTACCGAGCGGTGGCCTCAGCGCAGAACGCCATGGCCAAACTTGCCGCGGGCCACCTGCACTCAGCTTTCCAGGCCAGCAAGGAGGCAGTCACCTCCTCGGAGCGGGCCTTCTTTGACCCATCTCTCCTCCATCTCCTCTACTTCCCTGATGACCAGAAGTTTGCCATCTACATCCCGCTCTTCCTGCCCATGGCTGTCCCCATTCTCCTCTCCTTGGCCAAGATCGTCCGGGAGACCAGGCAGCGTAAGAAGGAGCCCACCAAGGTGGACTGAGCCCCTCACCATGATGCTCTGCCTCGGGGCTGGGGTTGTCCCCACCTCGTGCAGTGTGTTGCCACGGATCCGTGGCCCGAGAAGGTCCCCAGAACTGTGTCAGGGCTGTGCCCTGCCTGGGTCTGCCATGGCCAAAGATGCAGGAGCGGGAAGAGAGGTTGCTTTGAGGGGTGGGAGATGTTCTCAATCTGGGTCCTGGGATCTCAGCAACGCTGAGATCCATGAGGAGGGAGGGGGCTCCCCGGGGCCTTGCACTGTCTTCAGAACAAGCTGCTGGATGAATTAAAAGAAAAACCCTGGTGTGGGGCTGTGTGACCCTCATCTGCTTTGCCATTAGCCCTCTGGGGGTGCCCGTTGCCCTACCTTCCCCTTGCCCAGCTTCCATGCCCCTGCAGCCCCCCCCCCCATTGCTTTATGGGGTCTGGCTCCTCTCTGACACACATTTAGCCACTTAGGTTTATTTAGCCCAAAGCACTTGGGGAATTTAACACTATTTATGGGGTTTGGATGTTGG